AGTAAATTATTTCATATATAATGCGTTATGATCTGTATTTGCCGATAAAGAAAGAAGGAACATTCTGTCGAGGCGATGACTCATACAATATGAGCTCTTCTTTTATGATTGGAGGTTAGGAACATCAAGATAGTGGACTTGATGTTTACACACAAGAAGGGAGAATTTTAAAGATGCAATCCTTCTTGCATCACAAAACTGCAAGTGAAATCCGACTTAAAATGTGAGGCCTCAGTATAATCTCGTAATGGAATAGGGAATCGGAGTAGAGCTTTGGAAAGGAAGTTATCTGGAATGTAATTTGGTAACCAGGATAACGAGTATTTGAACAGAACTAGACTATAAGACTAAACTGGAAGTGTGGATGGAAGGAAATTGGTAAAGGGTTTGTCAAACTTTGAGTAAACCGTTTATTAAAAAGAGCTAATGGCCGAATTCGACATGAATCGCTACGAGCATTGAGCATACCGATTTTGAAACCATTCTGTACAAAAAAGTCTTGGGTTTAGCCCTAAAGCCCAAATTAGTTTAGGCTATTTTCAATGAGTGTAATTATAAAATAGCAATAATTATTTTATGGGAACTTAGAGACGGATATTGATGTAAGTAGGCCAGACAATATCATTAAATTTCATCATGCCTTACTCCCAAAAGAATGAGGGCCGAGGAACTTGCGAAGGATTTTGGACTGTAATTAGAGAATAAAACTATATTTTCACTAAAATAATCTTGTTATGTATAGCTTCGAAAAACTGCTATTACTTGTAATTCATTTTTTTATTAGTATTTAATCCATCAAGCATCTCAGTTATTACTAAAAGTTGCATAAAAAGGATCTGTCAAATGGAAATAGAAGAAGTATTGCTTAGATTCTAGACTTTATTTGTCAGTAGAAGTCCTCGGCGCATCGTCTTGGCTCATCCAATGAATGTGCACTAAACTTTATCTGTTATGCAACAAACATTTGTAGAGCTAGACACCAATATTTACTAAAATTCTCCAAAAAACAAGACAACAATGGCGTCCCGTTGTCATTTTACCTCCGTTTTATAACCGAATTATGCTAGACTATTTTAGCAACCCATGATTTGGTCAATTGATTCCCGGTTAAATATGAGTGAATTGAAGGCCTGCTGTCGATGAAGTTTCAATCTAACAGTTGTTTCCAGCATCAAAGCATCTAAAGCTGTTTAGCCGGTATTGTAGCCATTTTTAGCATCAAACCAAATCTATTCAAAGACACTAGTATTTGTTGTTTCATCCCCTTATTTTATATCTGTAAGTATTCCTGCCAAAGCCTATTCATTCTAAATGATACAGGCACATGGTTCAGTTTCTATAAACTCCAACTTCCGGCTCATCTATGCAGTCTTGACACTTTGAGAAACCAATCAACTTGGTGTCCAACATTGGCCACACATTGAGTTACCATGGCATTCAAAACCAATTATCTTTAGTAGGCGAATGTGTTCAGAAAACCCTTAACGTATAGATCGGCAGATCTCCCACGCACATACTCTACCACATGAGCATAAAATCTTGTAAAGCCTGATGTATATAACTGGTACCAAAATAATTTTTTTTCGTTATCGAGTAGGTTTTTTCAGGACTACCAGCAAATCAGATATATGGGTTGTGTTCACCCAATTTCATTTAAGCTGATGGAGGACTGGTATTTGATTTTTCACACAATGGTATGAGTAGAGCTGACGTCTCCATTGTATTTCGCATAGATTTGCTTTGCCAAAAGGTGTTCTCAATCAG